TTTTTTTTATTTTTCCTGCTTTTGTGTTTGTTTTCAATATATGTTATGGTTTCAGAGTATGAGTGTTGGTTTGGCTTTTATATTAATTTCTAGGAATTTTTTCATTTTGCTTACAGCTATTTTGGTTCTAAAATAATTGTAGATTTAGTTCTTATTTGCCTTGGAAGTTAGGATTTCTTAGGATAAACCTTACCCGTAACCAATTTAAACCCATGAATATTGATGTATTTTTGAATTTGTAGGATATTTAGAGAAAGTGTTTCTAAAATTTTAAGGTTCTTTTTACTATTAAAGTATTTTGCTTTCAACCTTCTATCTCAAGTAGTCTTCATTCTTCAACTTCAACCATACAATGGGAGAACTATTAGTTTGTTCCCTATCTATTTCTCTCAAATTTCCTTCCCCCCTAGACCTGGCAATTTTTTATCTAACCCATTAACCCGCCTATTACACGCATGTTTAAAACGGGTTAAGGTCATATATTTATGACCCATGACCCGTTAATGACCCATTAAGAGAACCCAACGGGTCACGGGTCAATAATGGGTTAACCCATCGGGTTAACGGGTTTGACCCGTTTACCCGTTTAAAAATATAAAATTTTTTAATTTATTATTTATTTATTTTGTTTTCCAATTCCCAATCCCACCTCAACCTTTAATAATTGACTAATATTCCCTAATTAACTAATTGATTCTCTTGACTCATCATCTTCTAAAAGTAAAAATAATCCCACTCCACTCATAACTCACCTCCCGACTTTTCCTATTCTTGCTTGCCCTAATACTCTCAAAGACTCTAACTCTTCAAACTTCAAACTCTTCTCATATTCTTCAACCTCCATAGTTCATACAGCCTTTGACTTTCAAGTTTCGACTCCACATTTTCTCTTTAGTCTTTAACATTATTTCAAACTTAGATTTTAGTCTTATCGAGTCACTGTTGCGTCCACTCAACCTTTTCTTTTTTTCTACTATGAGTCCAGCAACTGCTCTTTTTGTCACCAACTTTTCTCTCTAAATACTTCAAGGTAAGTTGTTTACTTATTTATACTTTTTAGTTTTCTTTCCATTCCAAGTAAAAATTTTACTTGATTTTCTC